GTAATGGTTGTTTCACAAACTTTATTTTTATACTGCTCTATGGTTCTTTGTAACTAAGTCTTTAAGTTAGAATTTAATTTTAAACTACTACTATATGTTTTTATATAGTAATACGTGAACCGTGAACTTCCAGATGTTCAAGCTGGTTTTAGAAAAGGCAGAGGAACCAGAGATCAAATTGCTAATATCTGCTGGATCATCGAAAAAGCAAGAGAGAAAAACATCTATTTCTGCTTTATTGACTATGCCAAAGCCTTCGACTGTGTGGATCACAATAAACTGTGGAAAATTCTGAAAGAGATGGGAATACCAGGCCACCTGACCCACCTCTTGAGAAACCTGTATGCAGGTCAGGAAGCAACAGTTAGAACTGGACATGGAACAACAGACTGGTTCCAAATAGGAAAAGGAGTACATCAAGGCTGTATATTGTCACCCTGCTTATTTAACTTCTATGCAGAGTTTGAGTACATCATGTGAAACGCTGGGCTGGAAGAAGCACAAGCTGGAATCAAGATTGCCAGGAGAAATATCAATACCCTCAGATATGCAGATGACACCACCCTTATGGCAGAGAGTGAAGATGAACTAAAAAGCCTCTTGATGAAAGTGAAAGAGAAGAGTGAAAAAGTTGGCTTAAAGCTTAACATTCAGAAAACAGATCATGGCATCTGGTCCTATCACCTCATGGGAAATAGATGGGGAGACAGTGGAAACAGCGTCAGACTATTTTTTGGGGCTCCAAAATCACTGCGGATGGTGATTGCAGCCATGAAATTAAAAGACGCTTTTAAAAAAAATAAAAATAAATAAATAAAAGACTCTTACTGCTTGGAAGGAAAGTTATGACCAACCTAGATAGCATACTAAAAAGCAGAGGCATTACTTTGCCAACAAAGGTCCGTCTGGTCAAGGCTATGGTTTTTCCACTGGTCATGTATGGATGTGAAAGTTGGACTGTGAAGGAAGCTGAGTGCCAAAAAATTGATGCTTTTGAACTATGGTGTTGGATAAGACTCTTGAGAGTCCCTTGGACTGCGAGGAGATCCAACCAGTCCATCCTCAAGGAGATCAGTCCTGGGTGTTCATTGGAAGGACTGATGCTGAAGCTGAAACTCCAGTACTTTGGCCACCTCATGCGAAGAGTTGACTTATTGGAAAAGACCCTGATGCTGGGAGGGATTGGTGGCAGGAGGAGAAGGGGATGACAGAGGATGAGATGGCTGGATGGCATCACCAACTCGATGGGCATGAGTTTGAGTAGATTCCAGGAGCTGGTGATGGACAGGGAGGCCTGGCGTGCTGCAATTCATGGGGTCGCAAAGAGTTGGACATGACTGAGTAAACTGAACTGAAATGTTTTTAATTAGTGAGAAGTGAACACAACAAATACTTTAAAGAAGTCAAAAGTAAAATGAAACTGGCATTTAATACGACAGATTGGGTAATCAAGAAGCACAACTATTTAAAACAGATATAAGGGTCTTTTGGTTAAAAAAAAAAGTCAAATGTTAAGTTTTAAATTTGTCACCATGTAGATTTTCCTTACCACTCTGCTGTAATACAAAGAACTCACTGGGAAAGCCTTATTCATTCAGAGCGATCAATAGTGCTTCCAACTACTTGGAATTGATATAAAAATTTGAATTAAAAAACTGGATATGGAACAACAGACCGATTCCAAATTGGGAAAGGAATACATCAGTGCGGTATATTGTCACCTTGCTTATTGAACTTATATACAGAGTACATCATGCGAAAAGCCGGGCTGGAGAACACAAGCTGGAATCCAGATTGATGGGAGAAATATCAATAAGCTCAGATATGCAGATGACACCACCCTTATGGCAGAAAGCAAAGAGGAACTAAAGAGCCTCTTGATGAAAGTGAAAGAGGAGAGTGAAAAAGTTGGCTTAAAACTCAACACTCCAAAAACGAAGATCATGGCCTCTGGTCCCATCACTTCATGGCAAATAGATGGGGAAACAATGAGAGACTTTATTTTGGGGAGCTCCAAAATCACTCCAGATGGTAACTGCAGCCATGAAATTCAAAGACACTTGCTCCTTGGAAGAAAAGCTATGACCAACCCAGACAGCATATTAAAAAGCAGAGACATTACTTTACTGGATGTTGTCTAGTTAAAGCTATGGTTTTTCCAGTAATCATGTATGGATGTAAGAGTTGTACTATAAAGAAAGCTGAGCACCAAAGAATTGATGCTTTTGAACTGTGGTGTTGAAGAAGACTCTTGAGAGTCCCTTGGATTGCAAAGAGATCAAAACCGTCAATGCTGAAGGAAATCAGTCCTGAATATTCTTTGGAAGGACTGATGCTGGGCTGAAACTCCAATACTTTGGCCACCTGATGCAAAGGACTGACCCACTGGAAAAGACCCTGATGCTGGGAAAGATTGGAGGAGGAGAAGGGGACGACAGAGGATGAGATGGTTGGATGGCATCACTGACTCAATGGACATGAGTTTGAGCAAGCTCTGGGAGTTGGTGATGGACAGGGAAGCCTGGTGTGGTGCAGTCCATGGGGTCTTAGGAGTCAGACACAACTGAGTGACTGAACTGAACTGTTTTAAATACAGATTCCTTTGTATTTTTTCTATTGAATATGGAAATGATTTCTGGTTAAAAATGCCTCTTTTTAAACAGGTGAAAATATATTAAGTATAGTTATGTGTCTTAAAATCATTTGTTTTATAAAAAGACAAGGATAGATAAACTTACACTCTTTCTAGGAGACACTCCAAAAGGAAAAAAACTTTAGCCCAGTTTCTTTCCAAATTATGTTTTCTAGGATAATAGAACCTTACTGTTTTTTAAAAAAGTACATGACAGAAACAAGATATCTATTTAATAGGAAATTAAATATCCTATTTAATAGGAAGACTTTTAGACATTTAAGTATCTTCCTCACTAGCTTGGAATAACAGCAATCAAAAGTCTGAAAATCCAATCTGGATATTGTGTAGTTTATGCTGTAGAAGTATACTTTCAGAATTTCAAGCTTAAATATAGATGCTTTTTCCCTATTGTGATAATGTTTAGTCAATTTGTGTTTACCTTAGGGTGAGAGGTATGACTGGAAGAAGGTACAAGGGGATCTCCAGGGCACTAAAAATGATGCATATCTTAATCCGGGTGGTGGTAACATAAGTGTGTGCATATGTAAAATTTCACATAGCTGTATATGTAAGCTTTATGTACTTTATGGTATATGTTATATTTCAAGAAAAAGTAAAAAGAATGTTTAGCTGGTTATGAAATGCCCAACTGTTTTACAATGAGTCATTAATATGACTTTGTTGGTGAAAATGGTATAGGGAAAAAACAAATTATCTGATACTCAGGGCTTAAGGACTGCTGATCATGCTTAGGCAAACTATATCTGAAGCTAGAGCAAAGTTTTAGTGATGAGATGTGCTGGTAGTGTATCAGAAATTGCCAGGAAGAACACAGTGTATCAGCTTAACTATAAAGGACTGAAGTATTGTAACAGTTGAAGCAACAACCAGAAGATCAGAACATCTGCAAATAAGTGATGTGACTATGGCATGTTTATTTGATTTATTTACCCATGTTCTTATTTCTGCTTACTGTTTGGGTTTTTGTCACCGTATTGCTTGGACTTCCAAATGATTGGGAATTCTGTTACATATTCTTAACTGTTGTTTTTAGTGTGGTAAAAAGGTGAATTTATGATTATGCTTTTAAAATTATGCATTCAACTTCATAGCTATTACTGGAGAAAAGTTGGTTTACGCAGGAAATACAAACACACAATCTGCCTCAAATGTTTATACTTTTGCTCAGAACCATGTTAATTCTCATCACCTCCAAAAGCCTTTGAGAGGATTAGCTGCATAGACCAATATTGTTCTATATTAGTCAGTATTAAGCATATGATGTCACCTTGTTTCCTCCCCTCCTCAAGCTTTTTTTTTTTTTGCGGGGGGGGGAGGGGAGTGGGGAGTTGTGTGTGTTGTTTTATTTTTTTGGTAATTCTCAAAATTCCGTGGCTTAAATACCACTAACTGGCACACATGATTGATAAACTTACACTCTCAAACCTGTTTGAAATGGGTCAAATACCTAAGCGCTGCAGAACAATGCAAACCAACCAGCAATTCCTCATAAAAGAGAAAGGGGGTGTGATTAGGTGCCAGCTATTAAGCAAGTTATTGCAAAAACAGTTTGGTGGTTTGTTTCTGCAGTAGGCGCAGGTTAAACTAGTATTTTCTCTTCATTAGCTGGAAAAAATAAAAAAGACTAGGCTTTAGGAGGTAGAACAAACAGTCGAGGCATGAAGCCACTGGGGCAAACACACTCGGGGCTTTACGGAGGTCTTTATACTGACCCTCGGGATTGGTTACTGATTATTAACCCCGCCGGGGAACTATCGAACGGAATTTGTGTGAAGCTTATCGAGTCCAAGGAAAGGAGATGCAGGAGGGAATATAAGCTTCTAATAAAAGAAACGCAGTAACAATAGCAGAGGAACAGCTCTGCCTGGTGACGTAATGGCTGGCAGCAGTCCAGCCTCAGCAGAGCTGCTGCTACCTCAGCATCCAACCTCTCTCAACACAGTCCAGCTTCGGCAGAGCTACCCCGGCTGCTACTTCGTGCGATGCCACTTTGTCGGTGCCACCGACACCTTCGCTTACAAGGGCCAGGACGCCAAACAAAGGCTGGTCTTGCCGTTTCAAGTTGTCTGAACACACACTCTCACTCACCACCCGCCCCCCCCCCCCCCAGCCCCCCAACTCCCCAAACCCCTCAGTAGTCGAGTCAATCGGCTGCTTAAGTTTAGGGCCAGAAACCTGGCGCACACTCCAGGCGTGCCTCAGTTTCCCCGGGCTGCTCTCGGGTCCGCTTCTGCCGGTCCGCACCCCGCCCCGCCCCCGCAAGCCGCCACCGATCCTCAGCCCGAGTGAAACGCGGCGGCCCCACTCTCCCGCCCGGCCCCGCGTGCCGGTCCTCCCGCCTTACCTCCGCCAGGTAGAGGTTGAGGAGACAGAGCGTGGAGAACTGGAGACAGGAGGGGAAGCAGTAGAGCAGCCAGTGGGGGAAGAAGTGCAGGTGAGCGGGCGGCCGGAGCAGGGGCAAGGAGCCGCTGAGCGAGAAGGCGGCGGAGAAGAGGGTGGTCCTGAGCGCTGCCCACAGGAGACAGAGGAACAGACAGAGGCTCTGGTAACTCAGCCGCCGCTCGCGGTACAGGAGCAGCCGCCACAGCTGCAGGTAGGCAAAGGCGAAGAGCGCGGCGTAGAGCAGGGCGTGCAGGATGCTCAGCGCCAGCTGCACCGAGCCAGGCACCGCGGCGCCTGAGGCGGCAGCGACGGCGTCTCCGCCGCCCCCGCCGGGCGTCGAGGGCTCGCGGCCGGCCGCCGGACCCGGCACGGACACCCTCATGAGGGGGCTGGGGGGCGGGCGAAAGAGCGCGGGAAGGAAGGGGCCGGACTCGGAGCCGCCGTCGAGGGGGAGAAAGATGTCCCCCTGACCCCCCACCCACCCCAACCTCCAACCCCAGGAAGCGCCGTGACAGGACCCAGAGCCCCGCGGAGAGCAGCCGCGGCTCCCCGGACCCCGCCTCCTCTCCCCGCCCCCCCACCCCCGGGGGTCTCGGCTCCTCCTGCTCCGGCTCGGCTTGGTAGATGCAAAAAACAACTCTCGGCTGGAGACAATCAGCTGAGAAACCCGAGCATTTGAGGCGCTCGCTCCGCACCTTGGGCTCCAGCCGATTGGCCCAGGAGGGCACGCCCCCTGGGCGCCGCGCTCGGAAGACCACAGGCCACAGGACCCGTCGCTCAGGGACCCCGCGGCCTGATTGGACGTTCGCTTTCCCCGCTTGCTCCCTCCCGTTCTTTCCCCAACCACGCTGCGGATTGGCCCGACTACGGCACTGCCTGCTCGCGCTGGCGGGCGGGCTAGACGTCGCCTGTCACCGGGGTGGCTCTTGCCCGCCCCCTGCGCTTCCCATTGGCTAGAGAGGCCGCGCGTAAGGCCCACGAGGGAGGAGCCTCGTGGGTTGTTTTTTGCCCAGCGGTACGACTCAGAAGAGCGGTGCAGGCTGCTGCTGCGGAGGCGGGAGGACAGCGAACTCGCAGGTAGGGGGAGCGGCTCGCGGTTCCTGGGCAGGCAGAGCACGGCCCCGCCTTCTGGCTCTCATCCTTCACGTGGAGAGAACTGTCGGGCCGCAGACCAGATCCCAGCCGGCAAGTCTTGTCCTCAGGTCTCGGGTACGTAGGTGGCAGCGCGGGTCCTGGAGACGAGGGCTATGATATCTGCAAGCAGGTATGCTTGCCGGCAGTCGGATCTGGTGGGTCTCCCTGAGCAACGACCGCACCACCCGGCTGTGGAGTTTGGCTTAATTAGGGCCTCACCTGGATGCTTCTCAGGGACGTTTTGTTTTCTTCTTTTTCCCTAGCGTGAGCGCCTATAAAACGTGAGCCCTTTGTGGGGAGAGGGCAAGGAATGAGGCGAAGGCTGAACGGAAGATCTAAGTAAGAGACCTTTCCCTCCCTCAGCACATGTTCCAGAAGAGAGTGGAAAGAGAATGGGATGGGTATGGAAGCCGTCTCTGAGTAGGGAGAAAGTGGGCATTTAAAACTTAGAATTTGGGAAGATGCTGTGAGCGTTAAGTTAGGCAAAACGAGAGAATCAGAATTTTAAGTATTTGATGGATGTCTGGAGAGGAAAAGGGGAAGGGGAATAGTCTGTGCTTTTTGAATTCCAGATGTATTCCTTCAAAGATCTGGACCTGTGTGTGGGTGGATGGTTGTGCTCTATCTAGGGCTCAGTTGTTTGGTAACAAAATGAGCCAAGTAGTGCAAAATGATGAGAGAATCATTTGTGTTCCCCTGAGGATGGGTGGCGCATCGTTATTTAAGTATCCCTGTGAAAGACACTGCTACATTTATTTCTGTAGCTGAAACTCAGCCTTTCCTAATTCACCATCCTAAGAAGCGTGTAGCTAAGAGATCCACAGCGAAGGTAAACATCTCCAGACTGTGGGACAGTAGTTCAGCCAGGCAGCACATGCTGTTGTGTTTTGGGTTCTGTGTAGGGTGTGCTGACAAACTGATGGATGTTGAGGTCTGGTACTGTTCTGTGAAGATCCGTCAGTTGGAACACTCAGCTGAGCAGGTTGTCCTGTGCAGCCAGCCTGCAGTAGGCAAACTTGGAGGAGAAGTTCACAGGCCTAATCCAACATCAGTGCTCTGCAGAAGGATCTTGGTGGTGGTTTTTTTTGTTGTTGTTGTTGTAGCTTAAGGCATCTGCCTCATAGATTCATAGAGAATATGGTTAGGCCAGTACACTGATTTGAAAGGGTTCAGAGAGCTCCTCGCCCCAGTGAATTAACTGATTGCAGTTATGTGCCTAAGCACATCAGTTAAGCATGGATTCAGAGTTATGTGCTTTTAGGCAGTTGCCAAATCGGGAAAGCCACTTATTTTCTGGCGTGTTTTATTTTTGTAAGTTTTATAATCAGTGAATCAGGTCATGAATATATTTTCTCCATGAAGGGGTTTTTCTTTTTTCCCAAAATTCTCTACTCACAGTGAGAGTAAACCACACATGGGCTTCCCAGGCGGCTCAGTGGTAAAGAGTCCGCCTGCCGATGCTATAGAAACGGGAGAGGCAAGTTTGATTCCTGAGTCGGGAAGATCCCCTGGAGAAGAGAATGGCAACCCACTCCAGTATTCTTGCCTGGAGAATTCCTTGGATAGAGCAGCCTGGAGGGCTACAGTCCATGGGGTTCCAAAGAGTCAGATACAACTGAGCACGCACACACATGCTCATTTCACATCTTTACTTGTGAGATTTTTTTTTTTTTTAATTTCAGAGTCATAGGAAATCTGGATAGTCACCTTTTTCTCCTTCCTTTTTGGGGGCATGTATATGGGGAGGTGTAGATAGAAGATTTGCCTCACTCCCTCAGGGAAACTCTTTAAGTGGAGAGGTGTTGACTCCTTTTATTGCCTCTTTTGGGTCATAAATGATAAACTGTGAGATTTATCATTTATGAGATCTAATCAGCATTTTATTGGAGGCTGGCTTCAGTGAACAGGTTCTGTTCTCCAGTAGCACTGTTAAACTGTAAGAAAGATAATTTTTGACAGGATGTTCTTACAGGAACTTTGCAAGTACTATATGCCCCATTTGTTGCAGAATATGAAGTATGGCTTTTCCCAGAGAATGATGCCTGCAGATTTTGGTGTATTTTGTTTAATGTTTAGAGTTGCTGATTTCCTGTTTCTCAAAAGGGGAAACCATTAGTTTTATGTTTAATGATAAGGGGAATTTAGGCCTTTACAGAGGAAACTAACCAAGGGTCTTCTAGAAAAGCTTGTGCCTGGAAAACCTAAAATTTGAAATGTGTCCCTGATGCACAATGATTGAATATTGTTGTTTTGGGAGAGGAGATTAGCACAGTGGTCTTTCAAACATTTGAAAGCAGAAGAATTGTTTGCCAAGTGTTGTTATTTATAGGACCCAGTTCCCAAATGAGATCGCTCCAACTGAAGAGGGCCACCAGCTGCTCCATCTGCACAGAAGGGCAAATCCTTGTCCACTCCTCTCACTAGCAGGAGGATCAGTGTTTTTCTCCTGAGGTACTTCCTCCTCCTTTCTCAGAATTCTGGTGCTGAGCAAAACAAACTTTTGTTGCTGTTAACATTTTATTTATAAGCTTTAGCCCTTTTTGTACTAGAACTTCATGCATCCATTCTTACAGTGTTTGTCATCCTCTGTTTGTCCTTGGTTAAATGTCACACACTTTTCCCCAATTTTTAAATGACTTGTGCATGCATACTTGTTTAGAGTTTAGGGATGAGGCAGAAGTTATATCTTACATATTAACTCTGATTATTCAGCCAGGAGCATCGTATTGAAGAACTGAGGGCTCTTTCCAGGTGGAAAGGTTGAGTCTGCACTTCTTGGGGAGGTGTCTGTGTGTAGTATTGGCAAATATTTGCACATGAGTTCATTTTCTTTTCATATTGGCACTGGTTGTGGTAACAGTCAGTTGCATTTTAGAGTCATCTTCCCTTTTAAAATCTTCCTAAAGTGAAATTGGGTCAATTTCTTGTGAATTCTTTGAAATATATTCATTTAAAATCTAGGATATGTGTTTATGTTCAAGTCACTCTCTTCTTAGCTGTTACTAAAACAAATAGGGCTAGTTTGGGAAATAGTGTAATAACAACCCTAAATCTTTAGAAGTTTAAAGCAAGATGTTTATTTTATGTTAATACTGGTAGGCTGGGAGCCTTGTCCCATGTTGCCCTCTTCCTGAGACTTGGTTCAACAGTTTGAGTGTTTTCAATCATTGTGGCAGAGACAAAGTGTATCATGACACACACACATTGACTTTTAAAAGCTTTTGGAAGTTACATATGATACTTTGCACATTTCATTGGCCAAATCAAGTCACGGCCATATGTAACTCAAGGAAGTGGGGAAGTAGAATTTTAACATGTGTAGAGACCTAGGAACATTTGGACACTCTCTCATTTTTGTGAATAGATATTCTCCTTCCTATATGTACTTCAAAGAATCTGCCTGCCAATGCAGGAGATGTGGGTTCAATCCCTGGGTCAGGAAGATTCCCTGGAGAAGGAAGTGGCAACCTACTCCAGTCTTCTTTCCTGGGAAGTCCCATGGATAGAGGAGCCTGGCAGGCCACAGTCTATGGGGTCACAAAGAGTCAGGCACGACTTAGTGGCCAAACACAACTGTATTCTTCTTCCTGTATGCACTTCATCCTTGGCTCTTCCCTGCAGAGATGACCCCTAACTTGCGTTCAGTCACTGTGTCAAGCTCAAAGTCTGGGATCTCTGAGTATTGCTTAGTAGCTGTGATCTCTGGACTTCATAAATTATCCATTTCCCTTACACTGTTGAATTCATAGAGTAGTTGTAGGGACATATAACTACAATACGTGTTCTTATTAATAATATTTGAAGAGGAGAAGCATGGAAGACATAAACCAGACACTGAACTGTAGTGATTTGGAAACTCGCTGGACAGATGTTGCTAGGGCTCAAAGTATAAGAAAAATGAAATAAAAAAGCATATCAAATGACTAGTTAACATTTGACTAGCCCACAGATTTACTTTGTGAAATTGCTATAAAAGCTGCTAAACATTTATAGTCCATTTCTGTGTTTTTCTCATTTTTGTAGACCAGTGCTACTGCTGCTGCTAAGTCACTTCAGTTGTGTCTGACTCTGTTCGACCCCATAAACGGCTGCCCACCAGGCTCCTCCATCCCCGGGATTCTCCAGGCAAGAACACTGGAGTGGGTTGCCATTTCCTTCTCCAATGCATGAAAGTAAAAAGTGAAAGTGAAGTTACTTAGTCATGTCCGACTCTTTGGATCCCATGGACTGCAGCCTACTAGGCTCCTCCATCCATGGGATTTTCCAGGCAAGAGGACTGGAGTGGGGTGCCATTGCCTTCTCCTGTAGACCAGTGACAAACAGTTACTATTCTAGCACATGCCCTCGAGCATAGTTCTTTATGGTCCTTGGCTTTGGCTTGCAAGAGTTCTTTTGATTTTTATCATCTTTGGCCACATCTGAGTTGGACTTTGGAGAATATGGCTTTTTTCTGCAGCTGAGCAGTTTTGTCAGTGTGTTTCCTGTACCCTGCAAAGGCGGGGACTTAGGAATTGTTTTAAGTTTGGAGCAGCTAGTCTTTTAGATGGTGGTGCTTCTTTGAGTGCCTTTCTTTTATTTCCTTGTTAAACACAATCAACAACAACTACCACATACTACTCATCTTGTCTTCCAGCCTCTTCTCTTTGGACCATGAATAAGTTCTTTAGCCACATGAACCTAGCTACATGCTCATAAATTCATTAGGTACGTCTCACTTCCAAATTATTGTAGCAACAGTTACATCAAATGTTTTGTTATTTCTTAACACAAAACATTTGTTGAGGTCCTGTCTCTGTGTTTCCTTGAAGAGGAAGAGTTCCCATGAGTAGTCTTACAACAGTTTCCTGCTGCTTGGCCCTTGAGCCTATGTGTGGAGTTCTTGTTAAGGCAGCACCTCACTTGTAATTTGTATACTGGTGAAGATAAACTAGATTATGCTGCAGTAATCCACCCCCTGCCACACCAGTCTCAGTGGTTTAAGACAACAAAGTTGGTTTCTTCCTATGTCATATATTCATTGCATACCACCTGGGGGTTCTCTGGGCTGCACCCCATCTGAGACCTGTGCTGACAAACAGCCACCATCTGAATGTTTTCAGTGACTGTGACAGAAGAAGAGAAAGCCAGGCATATTGTACAGTAGCTGTTAAACTGTTGGTGAGACAGCCTTATGTGCTTATAGTGTTGAAAGAGCAAGGTATATGGAGTTTCAGTTTATCAGCTCTGTTGTAAATTGGAGAACTAAATTGTTTCTCATTACCCCTGAAATGTTAAATTGAAGAGTAAATGGTCTTCATGACTACTGAAATGATAAATGTCTAATTTAGTATGATTTTTTTCCCCTAAGTTTTTCATTCTTTCATCTCTTCATTCTTTACTGAAAAGTTCCACTTCTATCCTTATGAGTAATTCTTGCTACTTTTTTCCCCTGTCTTCTGTTTTGACATAGTGATCTTTTGCTTAAAAGATAAGGAATCTATTTGAAGTTAAAATTAAAATTCTCACCTGTACCTGTTGGTGTAGCTTTACTTTCTAAAAGTACGATGTTTAATATAAAAACTAATTCTCCCAAACTATCTTCTTTTAAATGTAGATAATATATATCAGCAGTAGAAAAGCTTCCTGAAAGAAGAAATTGTTCAAAAGAAATTTGAAAGTAGTGAAAGTATAAGCAGAGAGAACTAACAGTGGACACAGAGGACAGACAGCATGGAAGTAAGTACAGCATGAAAGAAGATGAGAAGATGATATATAGGCTAAATCTGCGTTCAGAAGATAGAACTGAATTAAAATATGAGTTGAAAGAGCTGTTTGTGTTTCTAAGCTGTTTAAATCCATCAAAAATTACTAAATGTATATTTGGAAGGAATGTTCTTAAATAATTTCAGTAGATATCCTCTAAGGTAGGTGGCCCCAACCTTTTTGGTGCCAGGGACCAGTTTCGTGGAAAACAGGTTTTGCATATATGGGAGTGGGGGGCAGGAAGGGTGGTTTCAAGATGATTCAAATGTATTACATTTATTATGCACTTTATTTCTATTATTATTATATCAGCTCCACCTCAGATCATCAGGCATTAGATCCCAGAGATTGGGGACCCCTATGCTAGAGGATTTAAAGTAAAAAGAAGGTAGATGTTTATTTTGGATCTCATTTTCATGTTAATGGTTTTAATTGCTATTTGAGTATTAATTGTAAATCCAATCTAGGTAGAGAATGACTAAATGCCCTGTTTAAAAAAAGTGGGTTGAATAATGTTTTAGAATTAATTTTAGAATCCTTAGAAATGACGGCTTAACATACACCAGTAAGTGGGGCTTCCCTGATGGTTCAGTGGTAAAGAATCCACCTGCAATGCAGGAGATGCAGGAGACTCAGATTTGATCCCTGAAGTCAGGAAGATTCCCTGGAGGAGGAAATGGCATCCCACTCCAGTATTCTTGCCTGAAGAATCCCATGGAGAGAAGAGTCTAGTGGACTATACAGTTCAAAGGTTCACAAAGAGTCAGACACAGCGGAACACACACACACACCAGTAAATAGCTGTTAAACATAATATAATTAGTATTGTGTTTTCCAGATATCTTTGATATCTTTTGTATCAAAAATTAATAGTATTATCAAATCAGTGTCATTATATATCATCCCCTCTCACATTTGTACTAGAAGGAAATAGTAAAGTATTATCAAAATCAAACCTGAGACGAATTTCTTATATTATTCTTTTTAACAGATTTTACTTCATTCATTCATTTAACAAATTCCTGGGGCACAACTTTGTCGAATACCTACTCTTGCTAGGTATTGTCCTGGGCAACAGAACACAACAGTGAAGAAAATAGATTCTCCCGTCCATATACAGCCACAGTTGATGATGTCTTCCAGTTTCAGTGTGTTTAGAGCTGGCATCTCTTTTGTCATGATGTGCATTTTTTATACATCAGCAGTAAACTCTCCAGAGCTGAGTCCTCAGAAATTCTTCAGTACATTGCAACCAGGAAAAGCCACCTTAGTTTATTTTTGTCAAGCTGGTAAGTATTTTTTATATTTTAATGTGATTTTTGTGATGTTTCTATTGTTGTTTAATCATTATGCTCAGGGAGAACTCACTGTCAGGATTAATAAAATGTGCTTTAAAGCTGTTACTATGATATGTCTACCTGGGTTTGAATCCTGACTTTGCTTCTTGACCTGTTTTGTGACCGGGGTCAAGTCACTTAATCTCTCCGTGTGTCTTTTTTGTCATCCATAATGAGGAAATAGTGTGTGCTTTATAAATTCATTGTGATGATTAAGTGACTTAGCTCATGTCCCTAATCCACAGTAAATACTAGGTGAGAATTAGCTATGAGTAATATCATTTCATTGCCATTTCTAAAAGTAAACATGTTGATATTTTTAGCATGAAAATATTTTTAAAGTGTTTTAAAACTTTAGATATAGTAATACTAATGCTTAAGTTTAATACTCTGCTTTAACCATTCTATTAATTATACTGAATTAATTAATACAGCTATTGAACATAACTGATCATTGTCATGGTTCTATTAAGATCTCTCATGCCTTAAAAAATACTATTTTTGGAATTAGTAAGTGAAGTGAATTCACATATTTGCTGGCTCCCTTATAGGGCTTCTCTGGTGGCTTAGAAGGTAAAGAGTTTGCCTCCAATGTAGGAGACCTGGATTCGAACCCCAGGTCGGGAAGATCTCCTGGAGAAGGGAATGGCAACCCACTCCAGTATCCTTGCCTAGAGAATTCCATGGACAGAGGAGCCTGGTAGGCTACAGTCCATAGGGTCACAAAAAGTCAGGCACGACTGAGCGACTGATACTTTATTATAATTAGGATTTGAAAATGGTATGTTAAAATCATTTTGAAATTTTTGTACATGTATGTTGTGTATATAATATTAAACTTGGAAAAATAATGACAACTGTTCCATTTAAATTAAACATTTATTTATCTACTTTATGTTTATAAAGCTTTTAAGGTCACAAAATGAAAGTATTTCATGATAAAAATATTAGACATAAGAATAATGAGGCAATAGGAAATAGGGTACAAAAATACGTAATTTGGTTTGTTTAGTCACTTGTTGTTGCATAGTAGTTGGGCAAACTAATATATTTCTTTTGCAGTTTGCAGCTTTGGGCTTTAATTTTAAAAATTCATTTTTCCTAAGGGGCAAGTTATAAAACATTCATAAAACATTTCTTATTTTAGAGTCTCCAAGAACTTCTATGTTTCTTGAAGAACTGAATGAGGCTGCTAAACCTCTCCAAGACTATGGAATTTCAGTAGCAAAGGTAAAAACATATTTTTATTAATAGATGATTAGTGACAAACAGTTTACAGCTGTGTGACCTAAGACTGAGTGTCTAAAAATAATGTGTTGTTTCACATCTTTTTCAAACTGGAAAAATATTTTTTCTATCTTTTTTTCATAAGAATAAGCAGAAGTATAGATGGTTCCAAATTGTTATACAAATTAATGGCAATACAGGGGAAAAAGCTATTTAAAATTCTTAGAGCTTCATTTTGTAAACCATTCTATTGAAGCTATAGTGTCATTTTTTCAGTCTTCTATATAGGCTTTTTTAATTTTGCCTGAGAAATACATCATAATAGATATTCATAACTATTAAAACATTTCTATTAGCACAAACTGAGGTACCAGAATTGAAGTTATTGAAGTGTGTGTTTTTGTTTTTTCTTTCATATTCTGTCTTTATAATTGCTTATGTTGTGGTTATCATATTTATTTTTGGAAAAACTTTAAGACAACCTAATTTGAAATTACATATTTAATTTCTCAAAGTGTTCAAACTTGCTGTGGAGTATTATGGAAAATTTCCAGATGCATCATGGTTTAAATAGCTTCACGAACCTTTCATTTTCTTAGAATTTGTATCTCGGAAAGTGGAATGATTAATAACCCAGTGATTATTAAATTCTTTCAGATTAGTGTCTCCCTGAGTTTCTGTGTACATTTATTCTTTTCTAGTTCATTAACCTTCCTCCTTTGAAAGATGGCTACTGTCTCTCTTGATCCCTGCAGCTTGAGTTCCCAGGGCAGGAAACACAGAAAAGTTAACTGACTGTGACTTTTAAAGGGAAACTGTTCACTCTCACCACAGAACACTTCTGACGCCAAATATGTGTGTTTTCCACACCAAGCAGTCCTGACACCAACAGCCCAGAGTTAGGCGTCTGTAGACGCCTCAGGGGAGGGTACAGTCCTCTGAGGCTGCCTCACTTCAGATCCCAGTCACAGGGAGTAAGAAGATCCCCAGGTTTCCTACGACTTCTGGAGAACTTGGCTACAAATGGGGGTTCTCACAGCCCTCTCCTCAGGGTCCATAATTGGCTACAGTGACTCACAGAACTGGGGAAAGACTTTTCTTAACTGTTATGGGCTTCTTATAAAGGATATCTCGGGAATGGCCAGGAGGAAATGCATGGGCAAGATCTGGACGAGTCTCAAGTGCAGGAGCTGGGAATTGGGGCTGAAAGTCACCACTCTCTGATCTTGCCTTTTGCTGGCAACCAGCCCCCTTCCTGAAGCTATCTAGGGGCCCCAACTGCCAGTCATTTCATTTGCATACAGACAGACACTCTTATCACTACCAGAGATTCCAAGGCTTTTAGAAACTCTTACATTTGGGGTTAAAAGACCAAATATTAGAATAAGAGATACTCCTATCACTCCATCTTTCAGGAAATTACAGGGTTTTAGGTGCTTCCCTAGGGGCTCAGTCAGTAAAGAGCATGCCTGCAATGCAGGAGACCTGGGTTTGATCCCTGGGTCAAGAACATCCCCTAGAGGAGGAAATGGCCGTCAACACCAGTATTTTTGCCTGGGAAATCCCATGGACAGAGGAGCCTGGTGGGATACAGTCCATGGGGTTGCAAGCATCAGACATGACTTAGCAACTAAACCACCATAACCACCACCAGGAGCTCTGTGTCAGGAATGAGGGGTAGAGACCAAATGTCTATTTCTTATTATATCATAGTTATATTCCTTGGAGAAGGAAATGGCAACTCACTGCAGTATTCTTGTCAGAAAAATCCTGTGGACAGAGGAGCCTGATGGTCTGTAGTCCAAAGATCACGAAGAATTGGACACAACTGAGTGACTAAGCATGCATGTATATACCTTAAAAAAAAAAATCTTTTTTTTCGAATGTCAGTTCTCTTTGTATAGAGGTCTCAGGGTCTCGATTAACTGTGAACCAGTTTATGCTCTAGAATGATAATGGTGCTCAAGCTTTGAATAAAAATTAAGATTTAGAAACAAAATACAATGTTGGTATGACACTCGAAGGGATAATCATACTGTTTATCTAGCAGTCAGTAAACTAATGACTAGTAACTATGTGTCTGTTAACTGGAGTAGAAAAAGAAGGTTAATGCCTAAAGATCACCTTTATGAGCTAACGGTTCATAAATCTTTTACAGTTGAGGACTCTTAAGTTATGTGGAAAGGAAACTATGGTGGAAGAGATAGACTTGTTTTGAAAGAGATAGACCTAGGCCTTGAGTACCTAGCTCAGTCTCTGGTACATAGTAGATACTCAGTACTGTTTATGAGATTCAGATCAGCTTACTATTATTTAGTCTCTTATTGGATTGTAGACTTAAAAAATATTCACAACCTAAAAGCTGAGAGTTATGTTTTCTTAGGAGGGAATTTTTAGGACTTAAAACCCAGGAGCCAGCACCTCAAGTAACCCTGAGAGAATAGCTCTGAGGAGGTGACAGGAGCAATCAGATTATGTAGAAGTTTTGCAAAAAAGGGCACTAGTCCAAATGTCAAACTGATCGCTGTTAATTAAAGGAAAGCCAGATATCTCAAGTTAAGGAATTTAGCGCTTTTCTGTGTATAGGAATATACAAGAGTCTGGGCTCACTGAAATCATTCCTTTGATATGTGTACCTCTGTTATCTGGTACCAGTATCCTATATTTTCACATCCTGAGTTTTCTCAGGGCTGACCTTCGGTGGTGGCTGCAATCGCTGATGACCATGACATCCTTTGTTTACTGATATGGCAGGAAATATTCCATTTCTCAAGATAGAAAAATGACTAAGATCCCAGACTTTTTCTTTGGAGAGTAGATATCCAAAACACATTCACAGACCCCTCCCCCTCCTGTTTTTTTTTTTCTGTTTTTTGATTACACTGTACACCTTTGGGAATCTTAGCTCCCTGACCAAGGATTGAATCTGGGCCCTTGGCAGTGAAAGCTTGGAGTCCCAACCACTGTACTGCCAGAGAATTCCTGCAGACCATGTTAATAACTGGCAGAACTTGGTCATATAAGAGGTACAAATATAATGCTGTAGAGGTTTAAAAGAAAGAAATCTTACATGATTATCGAAGTGGACGTCATATTATGGTATTGGGAAAGACTTCACAAAAAGTAGCATTTTGAGATTGTCTTCAGAAGTTAAGATTTCTTTAGGCAGATGTAGATGAAGAAAACACTAAATTATAAATGGACTAAATGTTCCAGTTAAGAAAACGATTTTTAGGCTGGGAACAATAACCAAACCCAATTGTAAGATATTTAGAAATGCATCTTTAAGGCTTTAGAAACTCTCAAAGTAAATGAAGGAAAAATACTATATCATGCAAATAATAACCAAAAGAAAGCTGGTGTGACTATATTACTTTATCAATGTAGATTTAAAAAGAAAAAAAACCTTTGGGTCATCTTTTTTCTATCATAACCAATCCATTAATAAGTCCTTCAGGTTCTACTTCCCTGGTACCTCAACTGGTAAAGAATCTGCCTGTAGTGCAGGAGACCCCAGTTTCAATTCCTGGGTCAGGAAGATCCCCTGGAGAGGGGATAGGCTACCCACTCCAGTATTCTTGGGCTTCCCTGGTGGCTTAGCTGGTAAAGAATCTGCCTGCAATGTGAGAGACCTGGGTTCGATCCCTGGGTTGGAAAGATCCCCTGGAGAAGGGAAAGGCTGCTCACTTCAGTATTCTGGGCTGGAGAATTCCATGGACTGTACAGTTCATAGGGTTGTAAAGAGTCAGACACGACTGAGTGCCTTTCACTTTCATTCAGGCTCTACTATTAAAACCATGCATATTTGACCACTTCTGGTGTCTTCATTTCCAGTATCTTGTCCAAACTTCCTCACTTCTCCTCTGGGAAACCACAACAGCTGCCTGTTTGGTCTTTCTTCTTTCACTTTTGTCTCACCAAACCCTTTTCCACATGTAAGCAAATGTATCAGATCTCAGAAAGGCTTCCCATTACAGTTATGTTAAAATCAAAACTCCTCTGTGGACATCGACTTCCTCTTATCTCACTTTCTGTTCCTCCGCCTTCCTCAGTTTGTTCCTGACACTTGCTAGTTGTCTTTTTGTTACTTGAACCTGCTAAATGTGTATTTCCATAAGGCCTATGCAGGTATTTCCCCCTCATCTCTTCCACATACTTATATATTTGCATGCATCACTCCGTTACTTCAGTTCTTTGTTCATATGTTACCTCCTCAGAGAAGCCTTCTTGATGACTTACCTAAAATGTTCTGTCATACACTATCCCTGTAGTAAGTTTTTTTTTCCTTCATAGTACTTAACATTACATATTATTTAGTTTTTAAATGGTCTATCTCTGCTTTTAGAATATAAGAGAAAGATTTTAATTTGGAACCTAACTGTGCTGCCAATCAAGAGAATAGTGACTAGCATATGATAGGTGTTCAAATGTGTTTTGAGTGAATGAAGGGACAAATCTATTATCGTAATATCAACCATCCTCTGTGCTCTGACTTAAAAATTTTTTTTTTAATTACAGTAAAATTCATGGCTTTTGGTTATGACTATACTCTGACTTTTAATTCTGGTTCTCTACTCCTCATATCTTTTCTGGGTATCAGTTCTCTTTTAGTAGCTGTTTAAAAAATAAAACAAATGTGGCTTTTCCACTTGTTAGTGTGCTTCCTCGAACTCCATTAACGTTAACCTGAAAACAAAAACCAAAAACCCATTCAAAAAGAAAACAAAATGCAAATTTTAACAAAATCCAAAACAAAATACTAACTGTTCTTCCAACCTTGGTTTTGGTAAGTTTTGTTGCTGGCAGCCCACTTGCCCTGTCTGACAGCCTCTTCATTCTCTCTCTTTCCTTCCCCTCTATGTCCCATGCTGCATGTTATATGCTCAGTCATCTTAGTTTTACTTTCTGTACTTGTGAAAAGTCTCTTGAATCTCTCCTGACCTTTTCTGCTTTACCTCAGGTCCCCGTCGTCCTTGGCCTGTGAAAGTGAGTGTTAGTCGCTCAATGGTGTCCCACTCCTTGCAACCCTATGGACTGTAGCCCACCAGGCTCCTCTGTCCATGGGATTCTCCAGACATGAATACTGGAGTGGGTTGCCATGCCCTCTTCTAGGGGATCTTCCTGCCCCAGGGATCCAACCCAGTCTCCCACATTGCAGGTGGATTCTTTACAGTTTGAGCCACAGGGAAGCCCTCCGTGACCTGTGGTGGTGGTGGTGTAGTCGCTAAGTCGTATCCGACTCTTGCAACCCCATGGGCTGTAGCCTGCCAGGCTCCTCTGTCTGTGGGATTCTCCAGGCAAGAATACTGGAGTGGGTTGCCATTTCCTTCTCCAGAGGATCTTCCTGACCCAGGAATCGAACCCAGGTCTCCGGCATTGCAGGCAGATTCTCTACTGACTGAGCTATGAGGGAAACTTTGACCTGTACTGGTGTGATAATTCTGTCAGCTGGCTTTCTTGCCTTTGTGCTCTCGTGCCTTCCATTTCATTTGCATGTTGCTGCCAGGATCATCCTCATGTTTTTCACATAGAGTCCTCATTGTATGCTATCAAGAGTGTTGTGGCTACTCTAAAATCATCAGGGACTCAGACTCATTCTTTCTGTTTCACCATCCTTAGCAAGGGTCTCTCGTTTAAGGATGCCTTATGGTCCATGATGACTGCTGCTGCCTACCTGTCTTGTTAGGCTTTTTTCCTTTGTCAGCAAGGAGTGGGAGGACCATGAGTACCAGACAACCCCCCTTTAAGACCCTTCTAGGAATTCCAAACCTGTGACTTCTAACATTATTTAGCGATCCTTAGCTGTTGGGGGAGTCTGGAAAAGTCTTTTAATGGGGGTACTTTTTATTAGTGACATTCTGTTAGTGAAGCAAAAAGAGTGGGATGGATTTGGGTTGGGGAACCAGCAGTATCTGTCATACCTATGTTCCAGCTACTGAGATGCTCTGTGGTTCCAACTTACCATTCACTTCTCTGTTTCCTGGCTTTTGCCCATGATTTTTTTGTCTTGCCTTTATTGTTTCCTTCCTTTTCTACTTCATTACTTCCTACATAAGATTGAGCTGAATTAGGTATGATTAAATATAACTCTTTGATATAGAGACCTTTCTCTGGGTTCCTTTCTCTGGGTTACCTCCAGCACTTGCATAAGTGAGCAGTTATTGCATACAAATTGGAAAAAAAATAAAATAAGAAATGTGATCTGGGGATACACTGCAATGTTTAATTTTCCTTTGTGTTTCCCTAACCAAGAAACTCTGCCATTTGCTCTATATTCTTAAGCATTAAATATAATCTTTTAAAGGTTAATTGTGTCACAGAAGAAACATCGAGATACTGTGGAAGTGAAAAGGATATGATGAAAGCATATTTATTCAGGTAAACTAGTTTTTTCTCACTGGGATGGGTAAATATAAAGCTATACCTTGAAAATATTCAAGTATACAAAATGTCACAAAGCCAGAAGGAAGCTCTGTGTAGTGGGGATCATATGAAGCTTAGCAAAAAGTCTTTAAGTAATAGATTTGTTACCTCCACTTTGGCTTCCTAATCTATAGATTAAGGAGAATGATACTTAAGTATCAGGGTTGTTTTGGATATTATATGAGAATCTTATGTAAGCTTTCACTGCAAATGCCTGGTAAGTAAGCACTTAGCATATTTAATGTGCTAAGTAGATATGTCAGGTCAGGTGTGAAATAAATGTCTTACTACTTTATTTTTGAGGGATCTACAGATTTCCGGGCTATAGATTTCTCCATACTGGGCTCTGCTAATCTGAGTCAGCGAGCTCTTGGGATTTGGCCTAGGAGTGGGGAGAGGTCCTTTCTCCTCTGGGGCCTGCTGCTAAGGAGCCTTCTTTGTCTCTTCGCTTGCCTCCTTCCCAGCCCATGTGGGGCATCTGTGTATGCTGTGAGACAGGGAGGCTGGGAGGAAGCCTTGCTGGGACTCAGGTTTTTTCCCAGTCTTTTTGCCAACCACAGAGCCTAGGCTTTTCAAAGAGCCTGTCTATGAGGTGTGTTTAGTAAGTATTTGAGTGTGTGTTATGACAGTGCCCTGGTATGTGCATCAGACAGTGGATAAGACACAGATTCTAACATCAAAGAACTTCTAGTCAGTGTGTTAGAGCCACAAGTGAATTGAATGCTAAGGAAATCTTTCTGTAATGCTTTGCAGGGGCAACATAGCGCTGAGAGAATTCCCAACGGATACCTTGTTTGACGTGGATGCTATCGTTGCTCATGTTCTCTTGTAAGTTCAGGGGGCACTTGTTCACTTATTTGTTATTTATCTATTGATTTCATTTTAGACAATTGCAATCCGTTGTAATACTTTAGGACCTTGACATTATATTTGTAAGCATCAGTTTTATACATATTGCTTATCTGTTTTCCCACGTAGTGAAGTGAAAGTTGCTCAGTCTTGTCTGACTCTTTGCGACCTCATATACAGTCCATGGAATTCTCCAGGCTAGGATACTGGAGTGGGTAGCTTTTCCCTTCTCCAGGGGATCTTCCCAACCCAGTTATTGAATTCACATCTCCTGTGTCTCCTGCACTGCAAGCAGATTCTTTACCCACTGAGCCATCCGGAAGCCCTGGGTGAAAGTTAAGTTACAGGACATTCTCAACTTCACAGGTGAAAAATTGTGGTTATCACATGTTCCAGTACTAATATTAGTGAATAGTCTTTAGAAATCTCTGCTAACCATGCCTGTGGCCTGAATAGCCAGTTGTAAGTGATAAGAGATGGTCTTTTGAAGAAGGAATTCCAAACAGCTCCTGGGGTGTCCCGAGATAAAGAAGGGATGGCTATCTTGATAGTGGGGGTGATAAAAAGTTTAGCAAAAAATTCAAGTCATAGATGTGTTAGTTCTCAAGAAGCTTACTCATTTATGCTCTTTTTACAGTGGACACCCAATGACTATCTTTGACCCAGAAATAAGGGTGAAGAATCAGAGAAGGTTCTTTAAGGGATTGGGGAGGGGATACTAAGGTTGTCTTTGACAAGTTTGACAGCAGATTCTGGAGCAGCAGGTTCACGCTAGCTCCACGACAAAGGTGGTTTTGAAACAATTGGGCAGTAGATGTGGAGAGGCTGCCCGAGCAGGGGGCCCTGTTACCTGAACTGGCGCCTGTGGGGCTTGTGTCATTCAATCCTGCTGTGGTGTCCTATTCCTTTGCTGTACAAAGGCTGACTTATGGAACACTAATACCACAAATAGAGTATTCCCCAGGGTCCTGCTATGTGCCAGATACTTATAAGGCATTGGAGATGCCAAACAGAATAAGATACAGTTCTGTCTTCTAAGAATTTAGCATTTTGTTACAAAGACAGATATATAAACAGAAAATATCATATAGTAAGGGAAATGGAGCTTCATAAGGGCTTAAACGTCAACAGGGTAGAGAATATTTCCTTGGGTCTAGAATGAGGGTGGATATTTGGTAAGAAGCCTTCCTGAAGGAAGGTAGCATTTGGGGTGGGTCTTAAAGGATAAACAGGGGTTTGCTCAGTGAAGAAATGAAAGGTGGAAGAAGCAGAGGCAACTGTGAGCCCAGGCAGGGAGGTCAAGATAGTTTGGAGAGGGTGGTTTTACTGGCATTTCAAATGCATGGAAAGCAGGAGGTGAGAGCAGAAAAGCTGGCATGGGGTCAACAGAGGGGATCTTTGCTTACCATGTGAAGTAGTTGAGGCTTTGGGGTAGCCAGTGAAGGGTGAGGAGTCCAGCCCTGGGCCACACAGTCCTTGTGGGTTCTTCCAGGCCCAACCACAGGCAACCGCAGGCTTTGTCCAGCAGGCCTCGTAGAGGGAAGGTGCCCACTCACAGCAGAGTGGGAGCCAGCTCTTTGGGGCCCCTTGGAATGAGATGACTCCTGCACCCAGTGGTCTGGCCTGGAGCTGTTCTGTGGTTGGGGAAGGAAGTGGAGCTTGTGGAGTTGGTGTCTCTCCTCCCCTTTTGCCTCTTGCACTGTCGCAGTGAGTATATAAAGGCTTGGTTTTACTTTGACTCTTTGTCCTAATTGACCTGATTGTTCAGCAGAAGGCGGTAGGCAGTAAGAGATGTGATCAGATTAGCACTTAAGAGATCTTTCTGGTGGGTGAGAGACAAGTCCGTGGGATCCACACACATGTAGACACCATTGTGTGGCCACTGTAGAACCTAGGGAAATAAAGATAGCAAAGAGGAAGTTTCTTTTTAACGGTGAGGAGGTGAAATTTTCAAGAAATACTTGTTTGGTTTTGTTGGGTCTTAGTTGTGGCACAAGAGGTCTTTGTTGCATTCCATGGGATCTTTTGTTGGGGTGCACAGACTTTGTAGTTGTGGAACAGAGGCTCCAGATTGAGCGGGCTCAGTAATTGAGGCGCATGGGCTTAGTTGCCCGGCAGCCTATGGGACTCAGTTCCCCAATCAGGGATTGAATCCGTGTCCCCTGCATTGCGAGGCCGATTCTTAACCACCAGGCCACCGGGAAAGCCCTCTGCTGCTGCTGCTGCTAAGTCACTTCAGCCGTGTCCGACTCTGTGCGACCCCATAGATGGCAACCCACCAAACTCCTCCGTCCCTGGGATTCTCCAGGCAAGAACACTGGAGTGGGTTGCCATTTCCTTCTCCAATGCATGAAAGTGAAAAGTGAAAGTGAAGTCGCTCAGTCGTGTCTGACTCTGTGCGACCCCATAGACAGCAGCCCACCAGGCTCCTCCGTCCATGGGATTTTCCAGGCGAGAGGACTGGAGTGGGGTGCTGTTGCCTTCTCAGGAAAGCCCTCTAAGAGGTGAAATTAACTGAGCTTGGTAGCGATTAATTTGAATAATCCCTGATCTCTTCTTTTCCTTCCTTCTCTCCTCACTCTACCCCAAATCTGACCTGATCACCATCTGAGATAGGCAAAGGAAGAAGGGCAAGTTTACTGGAGAAAATGAGTCTAGTTTAATAAGTCAGATGCTCATCTTAGATCTGAGTCTCAAGTAGGCAGTTGTAGGAATTTGCATTCCTGAGGAGTGTTGTCAACATGTAGGTCATCTAGGGAGCATTCTAGGACAGTACAAACATATAGAGGAAGAAGAAACGGGGCAGAAATATATCAGGAGAGTAGAATTCCAAAGAGGCAGTGTCCTCGTTTTTGTTTAAAATATAAGAAAAATGACTTGTGGAATACAGTATTTTACAAAAATTTTCAGTAACAATATTTAGAATCTTGAAGAACTGTGCTAAATAAATAGTATGCCATATCAGAGCTGTGCTTTTTTTTTCCTCCACGAGGAAAGAGAATGCCTCCTAAGCCATCATCCTACTTCTTTGTGCTAAAAGCATCAGTTTAACACCCAGTTCCTGGCAAGCAGTTCCTCTCTTGTACTCTTCAGTTGCATACTGTTCATAGGAATGAAACTGAACTTGTTGCTGGATATTTTTTGCCCATTTTTCTATCACATTTTGAACTTTCATTCTTATTAATTTCAAAGTACTTTCTGTATATAAAGGAGATAGAAACTGTACATTTTCCTGTTTGTCATTTATCTTTTGAATTTCCCTATTTTTTTTTAATATTATCAGTTCAAATTCATCTTTTCTCTTTTGCCTTCTGGATTTTAAGTTGTACTAAGGTCTCCCTTTTGCTTTTGTTACAAAGGAATTCACTTGAAAACCTAACAGATTATTTTTTAGAGCAGTTTTAGAATTACAGAAAATTAAACAGACAATACAGAGAATTCCTCATTTCTCCTCTGTACTGTTTCCTCTGTTACCATATTACATTGGTGTGGTACCTTTGTTACAGTTGATGAATTGATATTGACACATTATTATTAACCAAAGTGCATACTTTTTATCAGGATTCACTCTTTGTTGTATAGTTCTATGAGTTTTGACAAATGTGTAATGACATGTATCCATGGTTATTTATCAGACAGTAAGTTTCACAGCCCTAAAAAATCCCCTCTACTCCACTTAGTTATCCTTCTCTGCCACTCCCCAGCCTCTGATCTTTTTACTGTATAGTTTTGCCTTTTTGAGGGTCATGTAGATGGAACTGTACCCCAGAAAAAGGGCTCAGAGATTCACAGAAAGCCAAGCTCTGACAGTGACTGCAGTGAAGTAAGGATTTATTGCAGGCCACTGAGCAAGTGAGTGGGAGACAAACCTCAGGTCCACTCCAATTTGGTCTCTGAGTTTGGAGCTGGGGGAGAAGAACAGAGAAGCTGAGGTTATTCATTGTCTAGTGATGTTTCTGTGACATTTCTTAGTTGTAGTTTCAGAAGTCAGGATACCTGCAGTTTACTAACATCTGGTTGGGTGGACCATGACCCCAGGGTGGGGAGGTCTGATAGCTCATCCTGCCCTGGAGAAAAAACATGAGTCTGTATATACCTTAATGATAAGTTATCCATGACAGCAATTTTAGTATGTTAACAGTGTTGTAGACAACAATAGCTTTAGTCACCTGACTCTGGTGATTACTGTTCAGTTAGCACAGGGTTGAGGTCACAGGGACAAGAAAGGGAATACAGTTTTGGTTATAGAAGTTAATCATAAAATTGTCAGGGGGACTTGATTTTAGAGGGAGCTCAGCTTCAGAATCATACAGCATGTACCCTTTTCAGATTGGCTGCTGCATATAATTAGCAGTATGTTCTAAGATTCCTGCATGCCTTTTCATGGCTTGGTAACTCATTTCCTTTTTTTTTATTGCTGAGTAATATTCCATTGTACGGGTATATCACTGTTTATCTCTTCACCTGTTGAAGGACATCTTGCTTGCTTCCAAGTTTTGGCAGTTATCATTAAAGTTGCTATAAAGCTCGTGTGTAGGTTTTTCTCTTTTGATGTGGTTTTTCAACTCATTTGGGTAAAATCTTTGGGGTGTGATTTCTCGATCATATTTTAAGATTGCTTTGGTTTGTAAAAAACTGCCAAACCGTCTCCAAACTGTATCATTTTGCATTACCACCTACACTGAATGAGTTCCTGTTGGTACACATCCCCACCAACATTTGGTATTGCTAATTTTCTTCTTTCTTTTTTAACTTTAGCTATTCTGTTAGGTGTGTAGTGGTATCTGATTTTAATTTACAACTTCCTAAGCACATACGATATTGAGTATCTTTTAATATGCTTATTTGACATCTGTATATTTTCTTTGGTGGGGTATCTGCTCAAATCTTTTGCCCATATTGTAAATGTTTTTTTTTTTTTTCCTCATTGTTGAGTTTAAGAGTTCTTTTATGTGTTTTGGATACAAGTCCTTTATCAG